GCCACGTAAAAATTTGGATATTATTTATATGATTTACAAATTTCTATAAATAATATCCAAATTTTCACGTGGCCCTGTTCGGGCCATTATTCAAAATAACGCTCATGAGCATTATTACAGTATACAGTATATAAAATTCTACGCTGAACAGAAGACAAAAGTAGATTACCTTTACAAAAAAAAAGTTAGCTATATTCTAAAGTTAACCCTTAATCTATTTTCGATGTGCTTAACTCTAAAATTTGGGAAATTAATATGTTAATTGAAAATAACCTGGAAAAGTTTATACGTACGTACGTAGTAAATTTATATAGTTTTCATTATAACACATGTATATCAATAGGTGTGACATATCCCTGACTGATAAAACTTTTGCGTTCACAATGTTATTCTATAACTTATATGCAATGCCGACGACCCTTGAATATTTTGTAGATAATAATTTTGCAATAAGATAGATAAAATTATAAGCAAAAAATTGATCAAGAATTTTTTCATAAAAGAAATTTTATTGTTATCAAGTGTAATTATGCAAACGCCAAGACCTTTAAAAATTCTAGAAATACTGTATAAAATCTTGTGAATGTATCTATTAATAGAGTTTATTCAAGAAACGAATAACAATATTGCAGTAATTTGGAAATCTCGAAATCCCAAACAAACATTTAACGAAGGTCTAAACATTTGCGGAAATCCCAAATAAAATGTGTATGTACGTCCGCCCATACCAAGTACATAACAGATAACTGATAACAGATAAGCATATTTCTTTCTTTACGATTATACGTACGTACGTACGTATTTCATAATATCAGATATGGTTATATATGTTGTAGGTAGAAACGGAATTTAAGTGGATTTGGAATTTTATATTAAAAAAAACCATTTCATCATATGTACATACTTTAAATTCGATATTTGGGTATACTCGTATAACTAAAATTTCGAGCTGAAAACTTTTGTTTAGAAGTCAAACTACGGTTATCATAGTAAAATCTTGAGTTATTTACGATTTTTCAGTTTTCTCAATGAGAAAACAAAAAAATCGAGATTTTACTATGATAACCGTCGTGCTGAAAACTTTTGTTTAGAAGTCAAACTACTGAAATGGTTTTTTTTAATAATATATAAAATTCCAAATCCACTTAACATAATTATAGAAATTTTGTGCAACCTAAGTCACATTACCCTTGGTATATACCACGTTGTTTAACCAAACAATTTAAGTGGTTTCGCATTTTTTTCTAGTTGCTGTAACACGATGTTTAGATTGTATAATAAACAAATTATATATTAACATTAACATTTTTGTACCTACAACCATCTAATACGTACATGTGTGTTCAATTAAACAATTTACAAAAAAGTTTAGTCAGAAATGATTCACGCAATCCTTTGATTTTCCGAATTTAGTGTAGCTTGTATAATGACTTATAACGACTTTAACATAACTAAGATAACAAAGATTGAAGATTATACCTTCTGTTAACGTAACGTAATTGGTAAAACTTTAGTTCCACATGCAGTAACGGAGATCGGCTTGGCCTATCATCTTCAGTAGGGAGTTACTTTGTAAGCCTATCTTATTATTTGGTATCACAGATCACATATTGATATCAAAGATTTTTAAATATTAGGGTGTCATTTCTGAACCGGTCGTTCGGGTCAAATTTGTTTGTTAAACAATTATGTAGGAAAGTAATCAGAAGGAATGATCACCTTTCCACATAAACGATAATTCTTTTATTGAAGCACACATGGATTTTTACAGTATAAACATAATCTGATCTAGAAAATAATAATAACTTACTCTTTATTAAAATCATGTTTTCTAATGGTCCTCCTAATATGAACACATCTGAAAATGATGATCTTTCAAACTTAAATAATTCGGAATCAATTACCAAGCTTTCAGAAAATACTGAGAATCTTGAAGGATCTACTACAAATCTAATAGGTATTCCTCATAATGTTGCAAAGGACGAAATGTTTTCGAATTAAAATGGTTAAGCAGCCCTAGTTTGCACATAAATTTACTAATTAGACTTCAAATGCGTTTACAGAAGTAGTTCCCGTCACTTCAACTACCAATGAATGCGAAACCCTAAACCTTGAAAATTCCTCTTCTATAAAATCAAAACGAGCCCCATACCGTCGTCCTATTTCAACTGCTAATGCCCAACCACCAAAGAAGGGCATATTGAAACCTATATCACAGTCTAATACTCGTTCGATTTGGAAAAGTGATTGGTTCTCTACACTTAATGCGCGTATTCAAAGTGTTGCAAACTCCGCTACTACGTCTGCGAACCCGACTTCTACTGCTTCTTTCTTCACCAACGCATTGAAGAAGCTGAACACACCGACACCTTTACCTTTTCAAGAGGATTTACAAAAAGACAAAACTCCTCAAATACCTCAAATAACCATTACATCATCTTCTGATCAGGTTTCTCAATCCAATGTCCAGCATCCTCCTGCCTTACCAAATAACAATCTTCTTACCACTAAGTCCCTTAAACGAGTTCGTTTCTCAGTTACGAAATTAAGAGATGAATACCCGCACTCTCCTATTCCAAGTGATAGCGGTTCTAGTGATGAGGAAGAAGAATACGACTTTCGTGAATGGGATGAAAAACAAAATCGTGATGCTCAATCTAAGCTAGAGGTTGATCAAAAAGTTATCTACACCGCTAAAGAAATGTTACAATTTTATTTATCAGCGTGTAGAATTAGAGAAGAGTTTCCTTTGGATCGGCTTGTGGATTTGTTCAAGGTATGTAAAATAAACCGAATTATTTATTATCCATTAAATTTCATTAAAGTTTTAACATTCAATTTTATATAATTTATATTCAATTAATACTTATTATTGTAATATTTCCTTTTTTATTTAATAGAAAGCAAATCAACCTGGAGGTTCATTAAGCGTAATTGATTTGACAGGTTAGATGTTATCCGGTGCATTTTTTTTTCGATTCTTTTTTTTTTGGCTGGTTTAACAATATATATATTCTTTTAAAAACTACTTAAAAGGCCATATACTTGACAGAAAAATTGCTGAGCCTATTGCTGATATACTTACCCTTGAATTTGGACTAGAAAAGTTAATAATGGAGAGATGCGATATTGAAGATGATGTAGGTGAATTTTGAATAACATATTTTTGTTATTTCTATTTAACTATTTGCATTGATTGATTATTTATTTTAATAGACTCAAAAAGTTTTTTGCCACGGTCTACTTGTGAATGATACTGTTTCTCATCTGAATCTTTCTAATAATAGAAGGCTTAGATCAAATGGATTCAACTATATTGCTATTTATATAAAAAAGGTATTGTATTTATTTGTAACATTATTTCTTCTTTGTTTCAAAAATTTAAGTTCGATCTATTTTATAGTCCACGACTTTAAATTATCTTGATCTTTCTGGGACATACTTCGACAAAAAATCTGCTACCTTCTTAGCACAAGCTTTAATAGAAGGAAATAACATGTCTGGTGCTGTTTTGGAAACTTTAAAATTAGATGGCTGCGGACTGAAAAATAATGTTTTGGAAGTTTTGGGTAATTAATTATAACATAATATAATGACTATTTATCATTTGATGAAATGATTTTTTTTCTGACAATACATATAATTAAATATAGGTCCTGGTGTTCGTCGGTCCAACTTACGTTATCTTTCGCTTAGATATAATCGCATCAATAGTTCTGGTGCTGTTTGGATTGGCGTAATGTTACGAGATTATGATACCTTAAATTTAAGGATAGATGATGAACCACTTAGCCCTGTGCATTCAGAATTTGACGAACAAGTGGAAATACAAGCAGAAACATCACGTATAAGAAAAAGTGGTTTGAAAATATTGGACGTCACTGGCAATGACATAAGAGTAATTATTTTGTGTTTTTAGAGATTACGACTTTAAATAATAGTTATTTAACTAGTTATTTTTCTAGAGTGGCGTTCAATATATATCTCAAGCATTACGAAGGAATAAGAGCCTGAAAGAATTACATTTATCAGAAAATCGCATAGACTTCAAGGGATTGATATTTATTGCTGATGGAGTGGTATGTGAAAAACGAAACAATGAATGCTTATATTATTAATATATTACTTTTGAATAAAATATACGTATAAAAATATATATATTTTAGAAACACAACTGTCATTTAGAATTGCTTGATATAAGTCGAAATCCTGTTGGAGGGCCATCGATCGAAGGTGTATGTAATTAATTGGTAATGATTCGATTTTTTAAATATACAATTCATTTTTTTATTTCATTCACTGTAGGTAACCTCCCTTCGAAATGCCTTATCATTAAATACCACATTGAAAATATTATTTCTATCGAATACACAATTATCAACTGAAGGTTGTTACCTTATTTAAAAAAATGTTTAATTTCCATCTGTATACGTAATAATTCTCAACTTTAAAATTTTAAAGGAGCCATTGCTCTTGCAGAATACCTTCCAGAGACTAAATCATTAGTCCATTTAGATCTTACATCTAATCCGGATATTGATATTGCAGGCGTCATGGCCTTAGCAGTGTCTATAAAAATGAACTATAGTGTCCGTATTCTGGATGTCAATGTTCAAGTTAGTGTTGAATTTTATTAAACTTGAATTTTTTTTTTTTTTGAATATAATTTTCATTCTATTGTCTTTAAAAAAAAAGCCAAATGATACGGAAGCGGCTGGACTTTCCCGAGATATTCTTCGCACATGCGTTAGAAATACTGAAATAGCTCAAAATGGCTTAGAAAACATTGATTCTAACTTTTTAATATCTGATTTTGATACTAAACCACGTCCCTTGCCATCACCGATTCCAAATTACAATGGTTCTTCAGAAATAGGAATTGATATCCGTTTAGATGACTTGGACGATGACGTGAGAATTGCCAAGGAATATTTTAAAGTTTTTGATGAAATGTTGTCTAGTGAAGAACAGAAATCAGATTCTGATAATATAGAATCAAATGAAGTGATAGAGGTTAGTGGATTTAAATTTGTAATTTTTATATTGCATTAAACATCTTTAATTGACTATCGTTTCTTAGCAACTACATGATCAATGCCAAAAATTTCAAGCAAAAATAAGATCGTATATTACAGTTGTGATAGAAGAAGAATTACTCGGTTTGTAAATTTAACTATGGTCTTGAGTAAAGAAGTATAATCGGAAACACAATGTAGCTTTGTAATATGATCTCTAGTCATTACACACCCACATAAGGCAATACTATACAAAACACTAAAGTTGTTAATGGAGTAGCATACTCCAGAGCAGCTCTAGAATGAGCCCAACCCAAGTTGGAGTGGTTGAGGAATAGTTCAACCCAATCCATTAACACCAAATACGTTGTATGAAATTTTATATATAAGCCTAAAATTCTCCGTGCACACTTATCCTTACTCTAATTTAGCATGGACCAAATATAAGAACATATTTGATGTGTTTTTATTTTCATCATATTACGTAGCTACTTTGATGTTCCGACTTTTCTTCTATGCGCAATACCTATTTAACTAATCTGTGGTTTATCTCTAAATCCATAATTTTTAAATTCTTTTAATAGAGGAACTTTTAACTTTAAACGATAATATTTCATCATCACTTCAAAGATATTCTAAGATGTACAATACTGGTGGAAAAAACTGACAATTAAACAATTGCGATTATATCGCCCAATTTTATTTAAAATTTTAAACCTTTTAATATAATTGGCCCATGATACATTTTTTAACAATACATATTTAATAATTTTCTTGTTATATATTTGAATAATCAATCCTTTATTAATATCTGGGAAATAATAAAGGACTTGCGTGAGTTTTGCAGCGTGCTCCTATAGAATATATCACCCAAGCCTTCCTTGTATATAATTGAAAGTCGCTTTATAATTGGCTACAACTCGTGTCACGTGGATACAGACACTGTGGTGGTGCTTCTCGATTTTGATTGGCTAAGAGCGACGATCCTGAAATTTAAATTGGGTAAAATTCACCACCCAAATTTTTTTCAGAACATATAATATGATCGTCCAAAGTGAAGCGAAGCGGAG